TTTCTTCCCCCAAAGGAGACATGAGTTAATGAGCCTCAGGAAACCTGGCCTTCCAGAAGAGTCTCAGGCTTCTTGGCCTCCACCACCTCCACACACACACACACACACTCCAGTCCCACCAGCTGCCGTTAGTTCTCTGTAGGCCTTCGTGAGTACTACAGCCTGTGAGCGCTTCCCCAGGTGGGTTGGTGTCTTCCCACCTCTGTCACTTGCATGTATTGTCACTCCACGTGCCCTCTTCTCCCTCGTCTCATGTTCCCCTCCTGTTGTCTTTGGAGAGCCATCAATGCCGTTTCCTGGAGGAGGCCTGCTCCTCCTCCAGCCCCTGTGCACTGCGCCCTCACAGAGCCTCCGAGGGAAGTGAAAGTGATTGTGACATCTCATCCTTATGTGAAGCTTGTTCCTTTTTCTGCCCAACTGGGCTGTGGCCCCAGAGCCCTGTGCAGCTGTGCATTCCTCAGAGCCAAGCCAGGAATGTGTCATGAAAACCATCAGCTAACTCTCCCTGACAGAAGCTCAGGCAATCACAAAATCCAGAGCCATGGCTTGACTCTTAATTTATGTGGATCAATGAACATTCCAACCACAAAAAAAAAAATCCCAGGAATCTTTCCTTGATAAGAAATCCTTGCATCATGAGACCAGCAGATGGTGTAATGGCTACATCACTGGACTCCCATGCAGTCAACCGTGGTTCAAGTCTCAGACCTGGTGGCTTAAACTCACGCTGAGCGCGTGTGTGTGCATGGGGCATTACAGAAAAAGGAAAACTACAGACCAGTATCTCTGATGAAAATCAATATAACATTTTCAACAAGATATTAGCTAAATCGTATCTAACAACATATAAAAAGATTATACATCATGCTCAGAAAGGCTTTATTCCAGGGATGCAAGCATGGTTCAACATAAGTGAAACCATACATGTAATACACCACATTAACAAAAGAAAGATAAAAGCCATATGATCATATCGATCGATGCAGAAAAAGCAATTGATAAACTACAACATTCCTTCATAGTTAAGACTCTTAGCAATACCAGCACAGTATTTATCAACATAATAAAAGCCATCTATGAAAAACCCATAGGTAACATCATACTGAATAGGGAAAAGCTGAAAACTATTTCACTAAAAACTAGTACAATACAAGGCTGCTCACTTTCTCCACTCCTTTTCAATATAGTGCTGGAAGTCCTACCCAATGCAATCAGAAAAGAGAGTAAAATAAAAGGCATTCAAATAGAGAAATAAGATGTGATTATCTCTATTTGCAGATCACATGATTGCATAGAAGACCCAAAGGTATCCACGAAAACTCTCCTCTAAGTGATAAATGAATAAAGTGACAAGATACCAAATCAACATAGAAAAATCTATAGCATTTCCATACATGAACAACACGCAGACTGAGGTAGAACTGATAAAGTAATTACATTTATTGGGATTATAATAAATGGGATATTTACAACCAAAATATACATACAAATATGTAGCCAAAAAGCATATGAAAAAATGCCCAACATCCCTCATCATAAGGGAGATGCAAATCAAAATCACAGTAAGATACCACTTAACCCCAGTAAGAATAGCTAAGTTTAAAAAAAAACAAAAACAAAAACTGGAACCAGCATATGGTGTAATGGTTACAGCACTGGACTCCCATGCAGTCAACCGTGGTTCAAGTCTCAGACCTGGTGGCTTAAACTCACGCTGAGCGCGTGTGTGTGCATGCCCAGGATCCCAAGAGGAGAATGGAGGAGAAGGGATTGCAGCATGGCCATCCCCCCTGGGGGGTGATTTCTCGTTTACTGTCTCTCTCTGACGAGCACACGCACCCTATAGCAAAAAATACTCTCAAAAAAAAAAAAAGAAAGAAAAAAAGAAATCCTTGCATCAGAGACCTCAGCCTCTTCTCACTGTGCCCAGTAAGGTTCTCTTTTCCGAGTTTTGCTTTTCCTCCCCTAGCAGCAGTTTTGCTAAGCAAACAGGAAGTTGCTAGTCGGCACTTTCACCCCTATGCTGGTGTGAGCCAGCAGAGGCGTGAGGGATGGGCTGGGCCTGCAGGAGGGGAGGCTGGGGACACGAGCTTGCTGGGGGCCTTGAGGCATTTCTCTGGATGTTTCAAGGGCAGTGGTTCTGGGGCAAAGCTAGAGAGAACCCTGGTTCTTTTTTTTGGGGAGAGTTTTAGGGTGCATGTGCTCACAAGAGAGACAGAGAGATAGAAAGCAAGAAATTATCCCCCCAGGGGGGATGGCCACGCCGCAATCCCTTCTCCTCCATTCTCCTCACGGGAACCTGGGCACACATGCACACGCACCTGGTGTGAGTTCAAGCCACCAGGTCCGGGACTCGAACTGCAGTCAATTACATGGAAGTTCAGTGACATAACCATTACGCTAACCACTGGTCCCAAGAGAACCCTGGTTCTGATTCTAGGTCCCCTGAGGTCACCCACAGTCAGGGGTCATCAGCAGGGAAAGGCAGAAGTGACCTCGGTCATAGCATCAGCAGAAAAAGTTTTCTCCCTTCCTCCCCTTCTTGATGCCCCAGTGCGTCAAAGCACCTCTCCTCTCCCCTCCTAACAGAAAAAAAAGTCTCTTTCTTGTCACTCGTCCGGGATGTCTAGTTGTGTCCTTCTCTCTGACTCATCCTGTCACACCTGCTTTCCATTCTCAGGCCAAGCATACTTGAACCCCCTCGCCTTGGCCACGTCACTTGCCTTGCTCCTGCCCCATGTTCTGCGGCAGTCTCCAGGTGGTCAGCGTGGCAGGCGGCCAGGCGCCCTGAAGGTGTCTGGCTCCCTCAAGCCTAGCCCTCCCCATCGGTGTCATTCTGCAGCAGCTCCTCGCCCAGAGCTCGGGGCATAAAACGTCCCTGGTTGGTTGAGAATGACTCCCGATGGTGACCCACAGCTGGGGGACATTTGGGTCATAGGCCCGGGCACACAAAACAGACAAGACTTCGTTGTTGCTGGAGCGCGTTTGGCAGGAGGGCGTTCGACCCGTCTGTGGACCTGTGGACCCCTGGCCAGCACCAGGGCCCAGGGAACTTGATGAGGAGAAGACAGCCAGCTCTGTGCTTTGGGAAGCTCTAACCCTCCGCCCTCTCTATCCTGCAAGAGTGAAACTCACTGAAGCAAGGGGGAGTTAGGAAATTCCTTTTGAGAAGGTTTTTCAAACCTTTTAAGAAATGCATGAGGGACCAGCAGGTGGTGTAGTTAAGGGTGCTGGACTCCCACATGGCTGACTGTGGTTTGAGTCCCGGACCTGGTGGCTTGAAAATCACACTAGGTGTGTGTATGTGGGTGCCCAAAATCCCAAGAGGAGACTGGAGGAGAAGGGGTTGTAATGTGGCCATCTCCTTGGGGGATGATTTCTCACTTCCCCTCTCTGTCTCTCCCTGGTGAGTGCACATGCCCTATGGCAAACTAAAAAAAAGAAAGAAAGAAAAGCTTTTAAAAAACCTTCCACATTTTTCTTCGAATTACTATTCCAAATTCTTTGGAACCACACACATAATTTTCCTCTCATTTTTCAGCCCTATCTAATTCTTCATTTATTATTAGTAGCATTTTATCATTTCTTATTTACATTTCATTGTTGTACATCTTTGCAGGGTATAATATAGGCTTTTGGAGCATGCATGCAGTGTGTGATAATCAAATCAAGGGTATTATCAGATTCATCATCTTCAACAAAGAGCATTACATTATGTTGGGCATCTTCGATTTTTGTCCTTTTTTAAAAAAAGATATATAAGATTGGCAGTGCATTTTAAAAAAAGATTATATATATATGGTTTTTGTTGTAGGACATTTGTGCTCGACAGAGAAAGACGGAGAAGGAAAGTAAGAAATCACTCCCCGGGGGGATGGGTGCACTGTGTTCCCTTCTCCATTCTCCTGGGGATTTTAGGCACACACGCATTCACACTCATCTGGCATATTTTCTAAGCTGCCAGATCTGGGACTCAAACCATGTACTCACCATACGGGATCCAGCCACCCCAACCATCCAGCCACAGCGTCTGGATGGCCCAGCTGTACCCCTTTTTTACTCTGTTGTGGTATACCATTCCATAACCTGTTTGCCTTGTTTACATGTATTCTTGTGTCTGCTAATCATTTTTTCCTAAGCAAGGCCCTCACCTTCTTCTCCCAGTAACTCTTCATTTTCGATGATTTGCGATCTGGAGGCACATAGACAAGCCCCTAGTTTGTTTATGATGTGGGGTTCCATGGAAGACACAGGCCAGTAGTCTTATTTTTGCAATATATTGTCTAGTTAATGAGGACAGATTATCAAGTATTGCACACACACAGAAACGGAGGGATTCGTATGATCTGGGAAAACCTGTTTCTTTCCTAATTCCAACCTGGGGCATGGGAGACCAGGAGGCAGTACCAGATACTGCTGTGTATTTGCAAAGTCCGCACACGTTTTCAAGTGGGGATGGGTCACTGGTAAAAAGAACCGAAGACATAGGGCTCTGATCTGTGTTTCTTCTTCCTGCGTTTCCCCTGCTATTTTTTGTTGTGCTTGGATGGGTTTGAAGATTGAGGTTAGGTAGACCCTACTTTCCTTTTTTTACTTCTGCTATGAGAAAGACAGAAAGAGAAGGGCATGCCCAACAGTCTCCATGCTGCAATCCACCCCAGTCTCAGCTGGCCTGGGTCACAGCGTGCACACATACCTGGTGTGCCCAGGGAGCTCAGGGAGGCCCCAGGGTGTGAATCCAGGACTCCCCAACCCCAGTGGCTCCAGCTGCATGACCTCTGTTTGCACCACCTCCTGGCCCAGGATAATCCCTTTCCAAAACTCCTCCTTCGACCCCAAAATCAGGGCTCTGCTTTCAAATAAAGGCCTGCAGAGGGAGGGAGTGCATCACGGCATTTTAGTGTAGTATGTCGGCCTCTCGCAAATGTGTGCGAAGAGGTGCTTGAGGCAGGTGATGCCAGTTACACGTGCAGAGCACCCACACGTGCCTCCCGTCGCAGGTGCCAGCAGACGTGGAGAAATGTCAGGACCGCATGGAGTGTTTCAATGCTGACCTGAAGGCCGACATGGAGAGGTGGCAGAACAACAAGAGGCAGGACTTCCGGCAGCTGCTCATGGGGATGGCCGACAAGAACATCCAGTATTACGAGAAGGTAAGAGGGTGCCCGCAGGACTGCAGCTGCCAGTAGCTAGAGCCTTGCACACCGGACCTGCCAGAAATCCAGAGGCAGGGTTCCTGCTGGTCTTCCTCCCGCCCTCATTTTGTCTGCTTGGTCTTGGCCCTTCTGTGTGCCTGTGCCCCGCTGAGCTGGCAGCAGTGCGGTTTGGAGCACAGGCCCCACGTGCTCACGGGCATCCCTCGCACACACTGCGGATGGAAGTGGCAGCCGGATCTTCCATGCCCTTTGGTCCTGGCTCCTAGTTGCCTCCTGGAGTCGGTCAGACCTTTAGTGCAGGGATGCTGCCAGGGCATGGAGGCTATGGGGTTACTGTGTGCTGTCTCGTGGTTCCATGTACACGGGCTCCCCAGGTTCATCGTGTCATGGGTGCTTTCGTCATCTGGTACAGCCTGTAGACTCATTGTCAAAATACGGTGTTTTATTTTTATTTTTTTGAGAGGTTTTCGCTATAGGGTGCGTGCGCTTGTCAGACAGACAGAGAGAGACATAGAGACAGAAAGTGAGAAATCACCCCCCAGAGGGGATAGTCATGCCTCAATCCCTTCTCCTCCATTCTCCTCTTGGGATCTTGGGCACGCACACACACGTGCCTGGCGTGAGTATTAAGCCACCGGGTCCAGGACTCGAACCGCAGTCGACTACGTGGGAGTCCAGCAACATAGCCATTACGCTAACTGCTTGTTCCCAAAATACGGTTTGTTTTTAAAATAGACTTTAAGGTACTGTTTTTAAGTACTTAAAATAAAGATATGTAGAATTACAAAGTGCCCATAATCTATGGACCTCAGGTTAAGTATCTGTCTCTCTCTCTCTCTGTCACACACACACACACACACACACACACACACACACACAACACGACTCTCATCGAGCTACAGCTTAGTCTCCTCAGTCAAGGTTTGCTTCAGCTCCATGTCATTTCTGCTCATGAATCCTGATATTCCTGACAAGCTCAGTGTTACAGAGGGAGAGTGGTGGGATCCCAATTCAACCAGTAACTTGCAGACTTGAAGTCAAGCTGTGGGAAGCATAACAGCCTGTCAGAGCAGTCGACAAACATGAACTCAGCATCTCGCACCTCGATTCCAGACGCAAGCTCCCGTCTCAAACCGGAAGAAGCCATCTTTTTTGAGTTCTTTGGTGGCGCTGGCTGTTGCTCTGGGCCAGTGTGTCTGCACCTTTGCAGGTTCATATGGATGAGGAAGGACACAGTCATGGACTTGCCCTTCCTGGTCAGATCTCCCCGACCATCCTGCAGGTGGTGTGTTCTTTTTCTTGCTGCTGATCTTCTGTGTCACCTGTGGTGACTTTGGGCTGACACGGGGCTGGATCCCTTGTGTGCATCATCTCACTAAATTCGACCCTTGCCATAACAACATCAAGTAGGTTTTTAAAAGTTTATTTTTCAGGCCAACAGATGGTGTGATGGTTCAACGCACTGGATCCTACGTGGCCGACTATGCAGTTTGAGTCCTGGACCTGGTGGCTTGAAAATATGCCAGGCAGGACCAGCATACACTGTAATGGTTACATCACTGGACTCCCACGTAGTTGACTGTGGTTCGAGTCCTGGACCCAGCGGCTTAAAACTCATGCTGGGCACGTGTGCATGCCTGCCCAAAATCCCAAGAGAAGAACGGAGGAGAAGGGATTGTGGCATGGCCATCCCCCCGGGGGTGTGATTTCTCACTTTTGGTCTGTCTCTCTCTGTGTCTCCACTGAGCACATGTGCCCTTATAGCAAAAATCTCTCTCTCTCTCTCAAAAAAAAAAATCTCTTTCACAGAATCTCCTCTTACAATCCTGTGTGTGCCCAAAATCCCAGGAAGAGAATGGAGGAGAAGGGATTGTGGCATGGCTATCTCCTTTGGGGAGTGATTTCTCACTTGCTCTCTCTGTGTGTGTCTCTGTCTCTGGTGAACACACACCCTCTATAGCAAAAGCTTACGAAAAGAAAAATATATTAGAAATTATTTTTCATCATTCATGATAGATTGTGTGCATGTGAAAGTAAGAGAGAGAGAGAGGAGCACCCACCACAGGGTCTGGCCAGTCCTCCAGCCTTTTGGATCTTGGGCACTTGTGCACAGGCCTGAAGTGTTTCAGGCTGACCAACCGGGAATTTAAACAGCAGTCACCGTGTGGGATCCAGGTTCCCTGGAGCAGTGCATCATCACTGCTATGCCATTGAGTTTGATTTTTCTTTTCTTTCTTTCTTTTTTTTTTTTTTTTAGAGGTTTTTGCTATAGGGTGCATGCGCTCACCAGACAGAGAGAACAGAGAGACAGAAAGTGAGAAATCACCCCTTAGGGGGCATGGGCACGCACGCACACACGCCTGGTGTGAGTTTTAAGCCACTGGATCCAGGATGTGAACCACGGTTGACTATGTGGGAGTCCAGCGACATAGCCATTACGCTACCTGGTGGTCCCTGGAGTTTGATTTTTCAATCTAATATATATTATTTTTTTCTGCCAGAGAGCATGGCTACTCACCAGAGAGAGAGAGAGAGAGAGAGAGAGAGAGAGAGACGGCAAGGCAGAGGAAGCCCCTCCCCCCCAGTGGGGTGTGGTCATGCCTCAGTCCTTTTTCCTTTGTTTCTCCATATGGGCAGGGTGACTGGGCCTGCTCACGTGTGCAAGAGTGTTTCCCATGCCCTCGGGGCTAGGACTTGAACTGCAGTCAGACATGTGAGACCTGGCGCTCTCCATGTAGTGATTAACCACTGCATTCTGGGGCCAGCCCTCACTATATATGATCCTCCTGCCTCAGCCTCCTGAGTTGCTGGGCCTATGCACCACCCTGCCTGCTCTTACGGTGGGTCGGGAATTGAACCCAGGCCTCTCACGTGACCTCATCCCGCTAAGCAGCATAATCCTGCATTCACTTCAGCAGCTGGGCCATGATTCTCGTTTTAAAGCTGAAGAAACTGAGGCCTGGCCCGGTTTTAAAACTGCCCCAGGTTGCCCGGCTTGTGACCGACTGAACTTGGACCTGAGCCAGTTCTTTTGGGTCAGCAAATTTGAACGGTTCCCCTACACCGTCGGCATCGGGGACGTAGGCCAGGCGTTCTTGGGAATACTTCTGCCCGCACAAAGGTGGAAAGCTCAAACCATGCGGAGTCAGACTTGCATTCCGCTGCTGACTTCGGTGGCCTTAGGTATGCGTCTCCGTACCTGTTTCCACATCTGCGAAATGGGAGTGGTCTTCCTGCACTGAATGAGTGTAAAGAGCCACATTATTTGTGTGTGCTGAGTGCCCAGCACATGCCTGGGTGTAGTGGGCACTCAGCACACTCTCCTTCCTTCCTGGGCCCGTCGCCTTCCCCCAACTCCAGACCCAATCATTGATAGATCAGATGATTCTGGTGCTTTGCTTGGTGACTACCTAGTCCTGGTGATTAACTAGTCCCAGCATTAACTAGTCCCGAGGCCCTGGTGCTCATACCCAGGTCTCATTGTCTGGGTTCCATAGTCTTCCCACTGGAGCATGAACAGGCGACTGAATTGGGGCTGGTCTTGGCTCCTACATATATATATAATACATAGAGACAGAAAGCGAGAAATCACCCCCCAGGGGGGATGGTCACGCCGCAATCCCTTCTCCTCCATTCTCCTCTCGGGATCTTGGGCACGCACGCACACGCGCCCAGCGTGAGTTTTAAGCCACCGGGTCCGGGACACGAACCGCGGTCAACTACGTGGGAGTCCAGCGACATAGCCATTACGCTAACTGCTGGTCCCCTATATATATATTTTTTTTTTTTAAGAGGTTTTTGCTATAGGGCACATGCGCTTGCCAGAAAGACAGACAGAGACAGAGAGACAGAAAGCGAGAAATCACCCTCTGGGAGAATGGCTATGCTGGAATTCTTCTCCTCCATTCTCCTCTCAGGATCTTAAGCATGCATGCACATGCGTCCAGCGTGAGTTTAATCCACTGGATCTGGGACTCAAACCATGGTCGACTACATGGGAGTTCAGCGACATAGCCATTACACCAACTGTTGGTCCTGGCTCCTACATATATTTAACAGATGCTTTTCATGCACTAGCTGTGTGCAAGGGACTACAGATACACTGGTAAACAGAACAGCGGGATGCCTGCCCTTGAGCCCTCAACTTAATGCAAGATACACATTAATCAGAGAATCCCACAACTTTAGGGTGAGATGAGGGAAAGAATAAGCCACTGTGGGAGAAAGTGCTAGGGGGCGTCGTTCCGGTCAGGAGTGAGGGGGCGAGTGGAGTGGGCAGGAAAAGCCAGTCTGGAAATAACGTGTAATCTTAGTGTCAGAGACAGAGTGGGGAACGCATTTTCCAGGGAGGGGGACAACACATGCAGGTTTCCTGAGGGAGGAACGAGCTTGGCACATTGAGGACTAACAGGAAAGCCGGGATGAGTTCAGTTCCTCAGGGGTCTAGATCTGAGGAGATGGCCTGGGGAGAGAGCAGGACTGGAATGTCACAGACCCCACACTGGGTTCCTTGCTGAAAGCCAGCACCTCGAGCCTCCATGGCCCTTCCTCTCTGAGTCTGGCTTCCTCTCTAACCCCAGGGAGGGAATCCGGGCGCAATTTCACCACTTCTCTTTCTGGCCTGGCCTCAGGATTCCTGTCCCTCCCACCTGCCCAGAGCTCCTGCCCCGCTGACTCAGCGCAGAGTCCTCCTCCGTTCCTCGCCTGCTTCTCAGAAAGGCCTAGCGTGCTTTACCTGTCCTTTATACAGGAGGCTGCTCGAAGACAGTGCCAGGGATTTCTGAGTGCTTGACTTTCCACGGGGATCTGGAATGAAAAGATGGATGTCACGGAAAGAGCGTTAGTTTGGGAACCATGAACCGTGCCACTTACGAGCTTGTCTCTTGGGCCAGCTACTTAACTTGAGCCTCACTTTCCTCATCTTGAAATGAGTATGTGTGTTTCATAAACATTGCTGTGAGGACTGGTGGTGACCCATGGAAGGTGAGCAGTCTTTGGACATAAAACTCGAAAGTGCTGGATTGCTTTCCCCCACCCTCCTTCTGGGAGACCTGGGATTGGTCCAGACAAGCAAATTGGAGGTTAGTGAATAGCGGTTTCCCTGCCTCCCTCTGAGTCAGGTGGCTGCTTCCTTCCAGGGTGACTGACACGCAAGCACCGCCTACACTTAGAACAGCAGCCCTGTCCATGCAGAGATCCGAGGGCCTCCTCAGGGGCTTCCTGCCTGGGAAAGAATTTTTCCCACTGGATCCATTTCCACTCACTGGATGTAAGCTTTGTGGACTCACAGGAATGCACTTAAGCCTTATAGAGACACTGCTGTCTTTCATAAAGATGGAGGTGACACATTCGAAAGAAACCCATATAATAGTTACAGGTAACACACTGTAGGTGTCATGAGGCAAAGGTGACCCGGCAGGATTGACCATGAAAAGGTAGATGAGAGCCGAAGGAAGAGGCCGACCCCGAAATGTCAGCCTCGATGCTGATGCTCTCTGTGCGCGTTGTCGTTTCAGTGCCTCATGGCGTGGGAGTCGATCATTCCACTACTGCAGGAGAAGCAAGAGGCCAAGTAAGCTCTTCTCGGGACAGAGACTCTCCTACCTGCATAGGGCATGGCACCCGCACCGGAGCGTCCCCGCAGCGCCAAAGTGGTGGCGCCGGGAAAACAGCCACAGACACCTCTCCTGTGTGTACCTGCCCCCTTCTTTGTCCTGCAGCTGTTTTTAATTAGTATTTATTCCTCAGTGGAGTCTGTGAGGCTAGACTGGTCTCTCAGCAAAGCAAGCGTACGTCCATGTGATGAAGGAAACTATTCGATGGAGCTCTAGGAAGGTCGGAACTCGAGGGACATGACAACCCACAGCGGACATCCTGCCATCTCATGACCGTCTTCTCTGGGACAGCTGCATTGCCTGTCGTGGGGGAGAACATCGGTCCTGCCTCTGAAGGAAAAGTGGAGGAGGCATGACAAGAAGGCAGCCATTGCTTTCTGCAGCCACGCAGCGGCTCTGGGGTTGACCTCTGTGGGCACTGACGTGCCTCAGCCCAGAAGGCGGTGTGGGCACCTCGGCGGGGATTCCTTAATGTACAGTGGCCTGTAGCTGTGAGTGCGGCCTGCTGCCTGCGCGTGCCGAGTGCCGCCTGTTCTGTTGTTCAGGTTCATGTCGGGCCGTTTAAGTCAGTGTCTGTGTGCATCCGTGCTTGAGCGAGCAAACCAGCATCCTTGTCCAGATGTGACGCCTCAGGAGGCTGAGGGCAAGGCTGCCCAGACTGGTTTCTGACACTAGAATGCAACAGCGTGGACATTGTGTGTGTAAAATGGAAAAAAAAAAAAGGTGCATTTTTCTCCGTGAAGGTCTTCAATGTTTTTTTTCTTGCTTGTGAATTGTCATCAAAGTAGAGTTTAGACCTGTTAGGGAGTATCTATTGTCTTGAAGTCCAAGTGGCTCCCCTGTTGTCGAGACCAGTAGGCATACACCAGGCCTCAGCCTCACCTCCAACGTCTATCTGTGCAATTTGCCTTTATCTCACCAAAAATATCCAGCTCGGTATCTCCTCCTGTGTCCCCTGAATGTCTGGGCAGCCTGTTGGTGAGGGGGCTGGTAGGTCATATGACACAGTCGAAATGTGTAAGCCCAGTGCGAATGTTCTACATGAAGTGCTTTAACCCTTACCGTTGCCTCCTTTGGAAGAAATCAGTACCTGGACGGGCCTCGACGATGACAAGCGTCACAGCAGGCTCTACTTTCAGACGAGCTAAAACCTCCTCAGTTTGCAGCCAAATTCCTGGGGACCACTGGCTGTGTCTGACATCTTCATTTCAAATTATTACCAAGTTTCTTTTTCAGACCAACAAAGCAGACGGAAAGGATCTTTCTTATTTCTCTCTCTCTCTCTCTCTCTTTTTTTTTTTTCCTTCTGAAATGAAGCTACAGCATGTGTCATATTTATGTCCTTCCATCGGTGGCACATCCCTAGAGAATGATAAGTCTGAGCCTCGGACAGGAGAGTGTTTGAATTAAACAGCTGTGCTAAGATCCTGCATCATGTGCAAGTTAACCTGCAGGTGCCAGTCAACGTGCAGCATGTAACGTCACTTCACCCCACTTCTAACTGCGAAGCTGATTTTCCGGCACCCCACAGCCATCATCCTGGTGGGACAGCAAAGGACAGTTTGGTTCAGTTTTGTTGTGTTGGACAAAGTTGCCATTTAAATGATCATTTTCACAGTAATTGGTACCTGCCTGTACTGTTAATCCCCATTTGTGCCATTTGAAAACCCATTGATGTGAATTTTCAGTTTGGTACAATTAGAAATGATTCACTGAAGTGGAAGGGTAGGCACAATCCACTACCCAAGTGGTGATTCAGCGTTTCATTCTACCTCTGAACAAGCGTGTTGGCGTGGGTGTGGACATCTGGGTCTGACCTGCAGCGTGCTGGTAGAATGGGAGCATATGTCTCGCGGTGAGTTGACAGCTCTCCGTTGGCATTTGGCGGAAGACTAGACCAACCCAGCAGCAAATGCTTATCTTTGGGAACATTGGAAGTTTTGCCTTGTGAACTGTGTGCTTTAAAATGATGTCCGCAGTAATGAATTCTTGAATCGTGGAAAGAGTTATTGAAAAATTAGAATCTGACTACCTACTAGATGCCAAAGCCCAGACACATCCCCGTGTAATGGTTAGAAGGGAAAGGAGGCAGTCTTTCAAAAAAAATAAATAAATAAAATCGTCAGGTCCTCACGGGGGAACGCCAGGAGCGGACTTTGACTTGAACTGCGGAGTTCACTTGGTATCAGCCACCACCGTGATGCTGGTAGAGCAGCAGTCGGAGAGCAAAGGGCAGTTTGGGTCAGTTTCACTGTGTTGGATCAAGTTGCTGTTTAAATGGTGATTTTCCTACTTGGTACTTGCCCATTCAGTAAGGAGGGGAGCAGGTCCACGTTCACGCTTTCCCGTCATGGGAGGCAGAAGACCGGCTCTGAGGGGATTCCGGCACCTTGGGGTTTTGTCTTGGTTCCCCACGTGACATCCTGTGCTGGAGCAAGGCAGACTTCCTGTCTGTTAATAATCTGCATGCCGTTAATAGCAGAGCCAGGAAAACCAGCATACGGTACAGACTTCCTTGGAGAAATGTCCTTTCAGGTCCTTGCAGTGAAGGGACTCTTGTCCCGGTCCTCAGGCTGGCATCTGATGGAGTGAGGAGCTAGGCTCAGAAGGAAGGAGGCTCTCCAGCCTGTCGCACCCCGCACCCCGTAAGTCTGCCTTGGGCCCCTGCAGCCATCCGAAGCATTTGCCTCTTTGTCTTGCTCCAGCACACAGGCAGTTCCTAGGGGAAGTGTCACTTGGAGACTTCTGTGCCAAAGACAGCCTCGTAGAGGCCTCACCACTCTATCCCTCTTGGCTCCGCAAAATCATGGTCTTGAGATCCAACTCCTCTCTTACACTCATTTTCCATGAGATTGTTGCCTGAGGGTGCAGTGAGATAGTCATCTCTTGCAACTGTCTGAACCTGGGAAGCAAGAGGTTTCTGTTCTCACCCATGTTAAAAATGCAGGCTAAGGCAGAAGAGAATTCCTAGGAACTGAGATTGTAAAGATGCAAATGCCGTTTAAGGGAGCAGTTGTATTTGTCGGGGGTAAGGACGCTGCCCTTCCTTATTCTCATGGTGGAGCTGCACAGAGGCTCTTGGCCACTCTGCTCAAAGAAAGGGACCCGCTGCTCCTAGAGGAAGGAACCTGCTTCCAGCCAGGTGTGGCTTTGGGTTCTGTTCTTTATTATGGCTTACTGGCTGCTGGTGAATTTAAAGTGTGATTATGGGGGTGATTGGCTTGCTATATCAGCAGGCTGCTCATTGAACTCACCAGATACCTTCCCTTAGCTGAAATAACAAAAAACAAGCTTGACCCTGGGGAGCATGGTGAATGTAAAGTAAGGAGTTTGTTTGTTTTTTGTCTTGTTTTATTTAAGTTTTTTTTATATAGGGCACATGCACTCGCTGGAGAGAGACAGAGAGAGGGAAAGTGAAAAATCACCCCCCACCCAGAGGATGGCCACGTCACAATCTCTTCTCCATTCTCCTCTTGGGATTTTGGACACACATGCACATGGGCCGCTGTGATTTTCAAGCTGCCATGTCCAGGACTTGAACTGCAGTTGGCTGGACTCCATGTGCCTTAACCACCAAGCCACCTGATGGCTCCTAAAATAAGTATTTTCATGCCAGACTTCAGCCCCACCAAGAGTGCATTCTAGGTGTTGAGTTAAATGTTTTCTCAGTCCTGATTCCACATGAGGAAACTAAGTCACACTTGTGAGGCTGCCTTTTGTGACAGAACAACAGGACATTCTATTTTAGAGGAGAGCACAGTGGCCACAAGGCAGGCTGCAAGCAGTGTTTCCCTCTTGGGACAGTGGCCCAAGAAGTACCCAGAGTCTGTGACTTGGTTCTGCCTTCAATAGCATTGTACTCACAGGCTGTGGTTTTTATTTGTGTGGTAGGATTTTTTTTTTCTTTTCTTTTTCTTTTTTTTTTTTTTTTTTTTTTTTTGATAGCCAGTAACATTACTTTCTAAGTATTGGGTCGTCAAAAAGTTATGTTTTTTTTTTTTTTTTGCAGAGGTTTTTGCTATAGGGTGCGTGCACTCACCAGGAACGTAGAGAGAGACAGAGAGACAGAAAGCGAGAAATCACCCCCAGGGGGGATGCCACGCCATAATCCCTTTTCCTCCATTCTCCTCTCAGGATCGGGCATGCACACACACGCGCCCGGCATGAGATCAAGCCACCAGGTCCAGGACTCAAACCATAGTCGACTATTTGGGAGTCCAGTGACATAGCCATTATGCCAACTGCTGGTCCCCAGGCTGTTTTGAAACCACTTTTTGGATTGCAGAAGAGCCACCACTCTCTGCACTCCATCTTGAGCTGGTGAGACAGGAGGAAGAGTGTGTTTGGGTCTTGGGATGGGTTCGAATTGGGCTTTATTCTGGCTAGCTGGGGTTACTGTGCCCTGTGAACGGGGATTCCTCTCAGAAGAGGGACTGCCTTGGCCAGGGCAGGGCACACTAATGCAGACATCACCTTCCCAGATGCCTGCTTTAAGAGCCTGTGAAAACTGGGTAATCTGTATGGCTGGAGTAACCCTGCCATGGCCACCCCCATTTGCATAATTCTATTGGAATTTGGGTTTGCTTCTCACTTTCAAAAGTTCTCAAGATGACAACAGGTTGAACATGCCTTCCTGTTTCTCATGTTTTCTCTATTTAGAGGGCAGGTGGTATTTATCAGTAAATTTGAGGAAAATGCCCTCTCCTGGGCTAAACTTCAGTGAATAAATCAGGAACCCCATTTTTCACCCACCCTATAGGTTCTCAGCTTTTCATTTTAATGCTGCCTGGTTTCCCCATAGTTGCACATATGGATGCGTGCAGGAGGTGTCTGCGTTAGAAAAGGTTGGGGGCGGGACTTTTGTTGGGAGTCGGGGGTTGACTGTTCTTTCGTAATCCTATGTGCATCCCGGGTATGACTGTCTAACCTACCCTATGTGGCAGAAAAATATGTTACCAGGTAGTTTTTACTATAGGTAGTCTGTACATAAGTGCTTAAAAAAACACAGAACCTGATTTTCACAAACCAATAAGCTATGTGTCTCATGTATAAACACTGTGTATGTAGCACTTAAAAATGAAATCCAGAACTTAAAAAAAAAAAATGCCACAGACTGTTAAAAGCCTAACTACTCTTTGAGAATTTGTCAACACCTACTGATATGCCTTATTCTTCAGCTAATGTTTTTAGAATTCTGGGTAAAAGGAGTTTTAGAAATGTAATCAGTGGTTCAGCTGAAATTACAGAGCTCTAACATGGAGTCCTCTTACAGAAACAAGCACGAAAGTGAGGATCGTCATTAGGGTTGCCTCTTGGAAGGACAAAATGGAGTGTTGCTATTGCCAAATGATATTTTTGATAATGTACGGAAACACAGGGACCACAAACCTTTTTCTTTTTTTAGCTTGAAAGTTAGTTTAGTGCCTTTTGGCATTCTTTTGATTGTAGAAGACATGATATCAGCCTTGACAAATCATAGATACAAAGAATTTTAGAGGTTTATGACAAGATGAAAGGTGTACCCTGATTCTGCAGAACAAGCTTTTTAAGATACTGTGGAGGCCTCAGAGCAGTGTGTTTCAGATAGAAATTCTCCGCAGGTTGAAATGCCAAAAACAGAAAACCAGGAAGATCTATGTTGACTCACATCATTTAGCCCATTTTAGCAAAGCTTTCACTGTTAGCACCGGTGATGAAGAACATTGCACATGCACCTCTCCCAGGAGCACCACCCCCTCACCAGGTGATTCTGGGCTCTCTGTAGGTGGGGCCGCAGGGGCCGCAGCAGGTAACACCTGTCACCACTCTTGTTAGACAGGCTTGTTCACAGTCTCAGGCCAGCCCTTCTGTCAGAAACGATACTGCCAGGCGGAGGGAGAAATGGCTTTCTTCTCAATATAGAAACGAGAGAGGGAAGGAGATGGCAGACAGAAACTCTGTGAATTGTGTGATAAAGCCATGGCTGTTTCAGCTGGGTCTCCCTCGAATACCAAACCAGCATCTCTAAACAGTCAGCACTGTTCACCTGGGGACCCTCGAGGTATGAGTCCTGACAGAGTCCCTGCCCATTGCATCTCTGCGTGCCTCTTCCCTTCGTCTCTGCGAGTTGGGAAGGCGCGGAGAGAGGATGCACGTCTGATATATTCCCACAGAACAAACTGCCAGCACACTTTCTAACTCGTATTTTAACTGTTAGAGAGCAAGAAGAAACTTTTCCTTAGGACATGTCCAAATTATGGACTGTATTTCTTACCTTTAGAAATCATTCTTTACCTTTAAAATTTTAAAAGGAAAAGAAAGAAACCTCCAAAGTATTACGTCCTCCCTGTAAATGCATTTTCTTCTCTCCTTCCTGCCATTAAACCAAAACAAAAGCTGTGAAACAGAAAAGTGCTTGAGAGAACGGTGTGGATAAGAAAGTGATTTATTGACAGATCGAAGTCTTCGTGTCCTGAAGCTACCAACGCTTTAAAAAGAATGTCACTTTCTTTTCTTCATTATGGAACCCAGAGATTGTAAAATGAAAAGGTGGTTTTTGTTGAATTTTTGATGCTGGCACGAGGTTTTTGTCCACTTTTTTTTTCTTTCATATATCTGTGTATAAAAGAAATTCTGTTCATTGTTTACTACGGGATTAGTATTACATTTTGAGGTAAACAAAATGATTTGTATTGCTTGATAAACTATTAGCTTGTAAATTTGAAAAAGTTTCTTTACCTCAATTAACTTAAAGTAATGGACCAATAAACATGTAAAGATGCTTTCTTTACCATGAGTCATGTCCTCATTTGTACCTTTATGTATGTCGACGGAAAAAAATAACCAACTGTAAAATTAATAATTAATGCGGTTTATTTCCAAGCCAAATGTGAGTAACCTAGGCCCGGAGAAGAGGCATACGTGCCTTTTCTCGGGGTGATCATGTACAGAGGTTCCTTTTATTTGTTTTTGAGATTGACACACAACATTTAGTGAAAAGATTTCCCATTGGTCTGGCCCAAAAAGGCGGGACATGTAGAAGGGGGAGCTTGTAGGGTA